CCACTGTTGTCACAGACCCTTTGTTTGAGTCCGCAGTTGCGTCTGCCCTAGTTGCTGAGCTTGTTGACTTCACTGTCGCTTGTCGTCTCGACTACGCCATTAGTATTGTTGCTGAGTGTGAGTCTGAGTGTCCTCCGTCCGTCGGGGGTGAGTGTGCTCTTGGTACGGACGTCCTTGAGGACAGGCAAGAGGACTTTGAGTGTCTTGCAGCTGCTGTACCTCATCTCGTGGCCAGGCTGCTTGCACCTAAGGGAGACCCGGATGCACCAGACATCCTGACCCCGCGCTCTTACGCAGAGGCGATTACGGGTCCCTACTCCTCTTAGTGGCAGACAGCCATGGATGCAGAGATGGCATCCTGGAAGTCCACTGGCACCTACGTCAACGCAGTTCCCCCTTCTGGGGCGAACATAGTCGATGGCATGTGGATTTTCAGGGTGAAGCGGCTGCCGGGTTCTCCGCCTGCCTTCAAGGCTCGTTACGTTGCATGAGGCTTCAGCCAGCGACAGGGAGTTGACTTCTTCCAGACCTTCTCCCCTACCCCGAAGATGACCACTCTTTGGGTGTTGCTGCACGTCGCCGCTCAGCATGACTACGAGCTGCACTCTCTTGACTTCAGCACAGCTTTCTTGCAGGGCAGCCTGCACGAGGAGATCTGGCTGCGCCGCCCACCTGGCTTCACTGGGTCGTTTCCTGCAGGTACCCAGTGGAGCCTCCGGCGGCCAGTCTACGGTCTCCGCCATGCACCTCTCGAGTGGCACGACACACTGAGGACTACACTTGCGGCTCTTGGGTTTGCTCCTTCTACTGCTGACCCGTCGCTGTTTCTACACACCGACACCTCGCTGCCGCCGTTCTACGTCCTCGTCTACATCGATGACCTCGTCTACATCGATGACCTCGTCTTTGCCACTGCTGACACTGAGGCACTGACCCTTGTGAAGTCGGAGCTGCAGAAGAGACACACCTGCACTGACCTGGGTGAACTGCGCAGCTATCTTGGCTTGCAGATCACACGGGACAGAGCACGGCGCACCATCACCTTGACTCAGTCACACATGGTGCAGCAGGTCCTTCAGCGCTTCGGCTTCCGGTACTCCTCGCCACAGTCCACTCCTCTGCCTACCGGTCACTCGCTCTCATCTCCACCTTGGACGAGTTCGTAGAGCCGAGTGGCCCATATCCAGAGCTTGTGGGTTGCCTCATGTACCAGATGACCTGCACTCGACCTGACCTTGCCTACCCTCTTAGCATCCTGGCACGCTACGTTGCGCCCGAGAGACACGGACCAGAGCACAAGGAGGCCGCTAAGAGGGTGTTGCGCTACTTGTGCAGTGCTTCGGGCATGGGGCTCGTGTCGAAGTAAGCTAGTTGAGCTTAGGAACCATAGCTAGGGTTCTAGGTGCTAGCATGAATGTCGAGAGAGTAGAGCAAGGCAAAATGGAAGAAAAAGAAGAGGATGATTCAGTATTTAGCAAGGGTACAAATAGGAAAGAACATGCAAAGGAAGGAGGTGCACCACAACAACAAGGCATATAACTACACTAAGTCTACACTACAGGCAGTTACAGAATAATGTATACAATTACAATTCAACACACCCCCTAACTGCCTATAGTGAAGAACCATGTGCAGAAACACCCGCAGAAGGGGTACACCCAGCAGAAGGAAATGAGGAGGGAGAGCGAGAAAGAGGAGAGGAGATGGGGGCGGCGGCTGAAGCGGCTAGCACACTGGCAACTGGAGCTACTGGCTCACGGGCTACTGGGGTAACGAGCTCGTATGCCTGGAGCATCCAGCTCGTACGGCTAGAGCAACTGACCCTCGGGCTACTGGAGCAACGGGCTCACTGGCGAATGGCGCTGCTGGGCCCACGACTCCCCCCAACCCCCTCAAACCTCTCCCCCCCCCCCCCCCCCGGAACTTCCCCCCCACAAAGCAGGGGGGTTGGAGCTGCTGCTGGAGTGAGGAGTGGAGAGGAGGAAGTGCTGCTGCTGGACTTTCACGCCACCCCCTTACTCTTCTCCCTCCCCCTCCCCCCCCCCCGCCCACAGCAACGAGTGCTGCAAGGAGAGAAAGGAAGAGAGGAGGGCAGCTGGTGGCGGTTTGCTGGTCACCCCCGTCACCCCCTCACCCTCCCCCCCCATGCCAGCAGGCGCGGCAGGGAGAGAGATGGGGCGTAGCGGCGCGCGGCTACGGCAGAGGCTGCACGTGCGTCTGCTGCGCTCTCGCGCGGGCTGCTGCTGCGCGTGCGCGTGCCGCTGTGCGCGTTGGCGGCTGTTGCACGTGCACATGCATTTGCGTTCGCCACTGCTGCTGTGCGCACTGCTGTGCGTACTGCTGCTGCTCGCGCGAGCGCGTGCCGCTGCGTGCGTTGGCGGCTGCTGCACGTGCACATGCACTTGCGTTCGTCGCTGCTGCTGTGCGCACTGCTATGCGTACTGCTGCTGCTCGCGCGGGCGACTGCTACGCGCGTAGGCGTGCACGCTGCTGCTCCGCGCGGCTGTGCGTGCTGCTGTGCGCACGATTGCTGTGTGACGGGGCGCGTGATGGGCTGTGCACTGCTTGCGCGTTCGCCACGGTAAATGGCGCGTTCGCCACGGGCAGAACGCGGGACGAAGGCATGACGGAAGTGTGGTGGGCCCATTATATAAAGGTCCGTTGGAAAGTGTTGCTCTGAATACCATGTCGAAGTAAGCTAGTCGAACTTAGGAACCATAGCTAGGGTTCTAGGTGCTAGCATGAATGTCGAGAGAGTAGAGCAAGGCAAAATGGAAGAAAAAGAAGAGGATGATTCAATATTGAGCGAGGGTACAAATAGGAAAGAACATGCTAAGGAAGGAGGTGCACCACAACAACAAGGCATATAACTACACTAGGTCTACACTACAAGCAGTTATAGAATAATGTATACAATTACAATTCAACAGCTCGTGCTTGGAGGACGGGGTCCAGTTGTCCTCACTGGACACGCAGACGCTTCTTGGGTTGACGACTTGGCTACGCAGCGGTCGTCACAGGGCTACACCTTCAACCTTGGCTTCGGCTCTGTTTCTTGGCAGTCTACCCGCTCGTCTTCTGTTCTCAGTTTCAGTTGTGAGGCTGAGATCTACGTAGGGGCCATGGCTGCACAGGAGTTAAACTGGCTCACCTACCTGCTGACCGACTTGGGAGAGCAGCCTTGTTCTTCTCCAGTTCTGTACGTAGACAACAAGGACATGATTGCCTTGTGTCAGGAGCACAGACCTGAGCACAGAACGAAGCACATCGCTCTGCGTTACTTCCTTGCTCGAGAGTTGCAGCAGCGTGGTAAGCTTCGTCTTGCTTACGTGGCCACTCGGGCCAACACTGCTGATATATTCACCAAGGCACTTCGGTCTGGTGATCATCAGCGTTTCTGTACTGTTTTATGCATTGTGCCTACTTTGCCTCACTTGCTCACTGCGTGACTTTGCTTGTACTGCGATCTATATATATACCTGCATGTTTACACTTGCTAGGGTATGATCACTGAACTATTTGTTCTCTTTTATATAACTCTGCATGTGAACTGGCCTTGTGGCCATTTGCTTGTGCTCGGAATGTGTGGTGACTTCTCTCAGTGTACTTACGTTCGATCATGAGGGCCATCCGATCTAGTTCGATGCGTGGCTCGACGACTTAGAGCTGTACCTACTGAGCGATTCTAGAGACAGTGTTTTGTTGTTTGACCACACGTCTGGAGCCTCTCTCGCCCCTCCCTCCACAGCTGACAGTGCGATTCGCTCACAGTGGCTTACCCGTGACGATGCTGCTCGCTTAGCCGTTCGCAACCACCTACCGTTAGCCGAACGCGCTCACTTTGGTCAGTACAAGACTGCTAAGGCCCTGTACGACGCTGTAGTCACTCGTTACTCTTCCCCTGCCACTGCTCTCGGCCGCCTTATACTGCCCTACCTGTTTCTCGAGCTGTCAGTCTTTGCCACGGTCGAGGACCTCGTTACCCACCTTCGCACTAGCGACGCTCACCACTACTCAGTCGTGTGCAAACCCTCGTGAGGTGATCCTAGGGAAGATCAACTTGGATGGTTGATGGTTGATCAGGAAGTGCTGCGATTACGTTCGGAATCTCAAATCCCCCTGAGCCGTACAGCTGGTCGCCCACCTCGTGGTCCGTGTCATAGTAGGTAAGATCACATCTATACGTCAGCTCATTCCACAAGCGCTGGTTGATTCGGTCTTGGTTTGGTAGACAGGATTCACTTGTCCACCATGAAACGCGCTCTGCCATGTGCCAACCGAGTTTCTGCTGTACAGCTGTACTCCGAAACCAGCTGAACTGGTTCTGTACAGTCGGCTGACACCATACGCGTTTCATTTGGTCGTCGTTGCGCTGGCATGACCTGCTCGTTCGGCTGCTTTAGCTGGCATCGACGTGACACCCAGCTGGAGACTGGTGCACTGTATCCCAATTCCCGAAACAGGCTCAGTGATTCCGCTTTCCAGGTTCATGTCGGTCGAGACGCGGTCATCTCGCCCCACGTACACATCGTCAAATGCCCCCTCACCTCAGTTGAAGGCCACAGCATCCGTCGTCCACCTCTCCTGGCGCTTCTACTCGCACCCAACTTTCCCGATCTCTCCACGAAACGCCCGTTCAGTGCTCTGCATTTTGCCGCTTGATTTTACAATCCTAGACGCCTCTCCAGACATCCTCCTGTCGACCTTGCCTTGCTATTTCCACCTTGCTTCAACGCAGCTGCTATCGCTGACTCCACTAACACCACTTCGGTAGCACCCTGACGCTCGTTATATTCCTTAAGACTGGTATTTTTTCGTTTTATGGTTTCGAGTTTTGTGCACAGCCATAAGTAAGAATGATAGGAACTGGAGGATATTCGTCGTCCCTTCAAGGGTCTCCCCAGTCACCCGATAAACGCTTCAAGACCCTTCCCCCAGCAGAGACACTACCCAGACATGAAATTCTAGGAGGCTACATTTTTGTTTGCAACAACGAGACGATGCATGAAGACTTAGAGCGACAACTCTTCGGTCTTCCCCAGCGATACCGCGACTCCGTGCGAGCAATTCAACCAGGCCTTCCCCTCTTTCTGTACAACTACACTACACACCAGCTTCATGGAGTTTTCGAGGTGAAAACACGTTCTTATAATCGGTTTCTCCATCGCCTATTTCCGTTGATTTTTCGGCCTGACGAACTTCGTTTTGCTTCATGCCAGGCTGCGAGCTTCGGCGGCACAAACATTGACCCGACAGCCTGGGAAGACAAGAAGGTAAAAGGCGAGTCCCGGTTTCCTGCCCAAGTCCGCATCAAGATTCGCAAGTTCTGTCGAGCTCTTGACGAGGAGGAGTTTCGGCCCTTCCTCTTCCACTACGACGGGCCCAAGTTCAGACTGATGCTCTCCGTGCCCGAGGTGAGCATCGTTTCATAGTAACAGTTCGTTTATTAGAAACAAACAGCGTGTTTCGGTGATAACTTATCGTCTGTGGGGTTCGTGTTGCAGACACTTGCGCTTCTGGACTTATTCGAGGAGAACAATTTCCCGTATCAATACTACAGCCACTTCAACAGCTGGTGTCGCAAGAGCCCTCCTCTCTCCACTCCGTACCACGGCTGCAGCCGCCTAATGGCTGGCTGAGGAACGTTTTCTGGGCCTGGTCCAATGACCACTGCTACTCGCAGCATACTAATAATCAAACCAACGCAAGTTTGGAGGCCTTCTTCAGTTCCTATGAAGCAGCTCGCTCGTTGCTTCTCTTAGGAAAAACGGCACATATTGCGTGTACATATCATTTATTATTCAATGTCAAGCTCTAGTTCCTCTAGACTCCGGGGCTTACAGCGATTTTGAGCATGCGTGGAGGAGCAAGCTGGCAGTGCACTATCTTGATTGTAGAATGAAGGTGTTTGCCGAAGACCATAGTGAAGTTGGATACCATGCGTGTAGTAAGATAAGATTGAAACAGCTTATTATTGGGGAGAGGCTCAATCGGATACCAGGTGAAGGACCTAGACGGGGCTCTTGAGGCAAAATGAATCAAAGGTTGGCACCTAGAGAATTATTCTAGGACCTGAAACAGTAAGAACATTCATAACTTCATAAGAACAAGCCAAAGGACTGTTGAATAGAAAGAGTAGGGCCTAGGCTTAGTAGCCTAGGCCAAAGGGAGTCGAGAGAGTTTAGGCAAAAAGAGAGGGGGGTTCACTATGGAGCGAGGTACAAATAACAAACAAAGCATGCAAAGAAGGTGCACCACCAACAAGTTTATAATAACTACACTAACTACAGCTACAGGCAGTTACAGATATATTCTAACAAGGACGAGTGATTACGCGCCTCTGCTTGCGCGCAACTGGAGCGTGCAGTTCACCCCTTTGATAGTAGAGACGTGGGGGTGTCTCGGCGGTCGTTTCTGACGGTGGCTTCGACAGCAGGGGGACGCGCACTTGGGGTTAGCCGGGGGGCTTGTTTGGAGGACGACACTTCGTTTTCGGCTTTTTTTTTGGGTCTCTGAAAGCGCTCATCGGGGTAGCGTTACAACGGGCGCAATCACGTGTCATCCTCCTTCGTGCGGCGTCTTCCATGGGGGGGATGAATGTGGATTTGGTGGACAGGGAGATGGACGTGTCAGAGGTCCACTGGTGATCCCCGATTGATCCTAGGGAAATGTTACAGGCTCGTTGTCCTGTGGGGTTATAGGCGCACTGACCCGTTACTTAACAAACCCTTTTATCCAAATGGTCTAGTGGTTGGGATTCTGACATAGTATCAGACCAAAGGTCTTGGGTTCGAATCCCAGTGTGTGCATTTCGGGCATCATATTGCGGGGGGGTGTCAGAGGTCTGTCAGAGGTCCACTGGTGATCCCCGATTGATCCTAGGGAAGGGTTACAGGCTCGCTAGTCCTGGGGGGTTATGAGCGCACTGACCCGCTACTTAATAAGCCTTTTTATCCCAGTGGTCTAGTGACTGGGATTCTGACATGGTATCAGAGCGAAGGTATCGGGTTCGAATCCCAGTGTGTGCACTTCGGGCATCTCAGTGCGGGGGGCAGGGTTTTTTTTTGGATTTTCACTACTCGGATTTCCAGAGCTGTTTTCTAGAGAACTCTGAAATTCAGGGTTCATTATGAGCGTTACTCTGATTTGTCAGAGAAAACTTAACTTCTGAAAAATATACTCTGGGCACCCAGTGTACCTATTTTTCCAACTCTGAGTGTCCTCTCAAGTATTGAACCCAGGCCTTCTGCACTCCTACCAAAAAGATTAAGCGTTGTGCTACGCGCTCACAATTCTATTCGATTACGGATTTATATAACTCTATTAAGTCTGCCCATCTTCCAACAATCGGGGGGGAGACGGGGGGGCGGGGGGGGTCGGTCGAAATGCCTATACCCTGTACAGAGAAAAGTACATCCGCCACAAATATACACTGGTCTCTCAGAGAAGCTAAAATCAGAACCCTGACAAATCAGAGAAAACTTATCCTCCAAAAAAATTACCCAGACACGTCAGAGTGACCCCCTAAAAACCACTCTGATTTTCAGAGAAACAGAGTAATTTACTCTGATAAAAAAACCCCTGGCGGGGGGGTGTCAGAGGTCCACTGGTGATCCCCGATTGATCCTAGGGAAGGGTTACAGGCTCGTTGTCCTGGGGGGTTATGGGCGCACTGTGTCAGATTGTTATGTTTGTCTAGCCTGCAGTGGGGTACTCAATAGTGAGTACAGCCCAATTTAGGGTTTGCTATATGTACTCAACTGCTTGCTAGTGAAACCCCTCTTTTCTGTTTCTAACTTTCTACTACTTTCTTAACATGGAATCAGAGCAGGTCGACCCTCACGGGTCGATCCTGTGCATGGGCCCACCATCAGCTTCCACTGCTGTCCTGCCTCTCGCGCGCCTCGGGCGCGCGCTGCCTACCTGCCTGCCTGCCGCGCGCCCATGGTGGGCGGCCTTTTTTCTTCCCGCCGCGCGCTCGAGGCGCGCGGCGGTTTTCTGACCGTCGGGCGCCCCGTGGCGCGCGGCGGTCCCTCGCCCCGGCCCTGCCCCGTCGCCCGACGCCGCCCCTGTCGCGGCCCCGTCGCGGCCCCACGTCGCGGCCCTCCGTCGCGGCCCCCTGTCGCGGCCCCCCGTCGCGACCCCCCGTCGCGGCCCCCCGTCGCGGCCCCCCCCGTCGCGGCCCCCCGTCGCGGCCCCCGTCGCGGCCCCCCGTCGCGGCCCTTCCCCGTCGCCCGACGCCGCCCCGTCGCGGCCCTGTCGCGGTGCTGCCCCGGCCCTGCCCCTTCGCCCGCCGCGCTTCTGTCGCGGCCCCGTCGCGGCCCCGCCCCGGCCCTGCTCCGACGCCTGTCGCGGCCTCGTCGCGGCCTCGTCGCGGCCCCGTCGCAGCCCCGCCCCGGCCCTTTTCCCGTCGCCTGTCGAGGCGACCTGGGGGGGGCCCGCGCGTCGCCCCTTCTGCCGCCTGTTTTGGCGCCCTGGGAGGCCGCGCGTCGGCCCCTGTCACCCCCCCCCCCCCCCCCCCCGTAACCTCCCTACCCGCCATCCCGCCCTGCCCTGTGTTAGGGTTTGGGGGTGGCGAGTAGGGGGTGGCGGGTGTGTGGTCTCCCCTGCTCCTCCTCCTCCTCTGTCTCCTACTGCTGCAGCTGCCGCTGAGGGGGGTGGGTGTGTGGGAGTCGACGGAGTGGTGCTAGGGGGTGGAGTGTGAGTGAACCTAGTGGTGCAACAGGGGGTGTGTGAAAGGGGGGTGGGATAGTTTGGGGAGGTTGAAGGGGGGTGGCCGCCGTGAAGCCCGCAGCTCCAGTCGCCCGTGAGACCGTTGCGCCAGTCGCCCGTGAGCCCGTTGCGCCAGTCGCCCGTGAGCCCGTTGCTCCAGTCGCCCGTGAGTCCGTTGCTCCTGCCGCTCAGAGTTAGCCGCGGAGCCAGTTAGTTCAGTAGCCCGTGTGCCAGTTGCTCCAGTTGCTAGTGTGCCAGTTTCTCCAGTTGCCCGTGTGCCAGTTGCTCCAGTTGTGCCGTGTGCCAGCAGCTTCAGCTGTCGCCCACTACCTCCTCTCCTCTCATAGTCCCTCCTCCTCCACACTTGCCCTCTGCGATATCCTCTAGCTTTGCTTACATTTGTGAACTATAAACTGCTGCTTCTTGTACTTTTGCTCAGATTGTGTGGTGACATTGTGATCCACCCTGAGCTTGTGTTTTGCTTGCTTGTTGTGCTGATTACACCCCACTTTGGCTATGGGGGTGTGTCAGAATGTTATGTTTGTCTAGCCTGCAGTGGGGTACTCAATAGTGAGTACAGCCCAATTTAGGGTTTGCTATATGTACTCAACTGCTTGCTAGTGAAACCCCTCTTTTCTGTTTCTAACTTTCTACTACTTTCTTAACACACTGACCCGCTACTTAACAAGCCCTTTTATCCCAATGGTCTAGTGGTTGGGATTCTGACAAGGTCCACTGGTGATCCCCGATTGATCCTAGGGAAGGGTTACAGGCTCGTTGTCCTGGGGGTTATGGGCGCACTTGTTGGAAACAATAACTCAAACGCTTCTGAAGTATCGAACTATTGATACGAAACGAAGCAGACTATAGTGAAGCAACACGAGTCAACAGAAGCAACCGCTGGAGGTTACGCGAAGGTCAAAGGTCGCTGACCTTTGACTTGACGAAAACTACAGTGTGACAGCAAGGACACATAACTGACCCGTTATCGAGCAGTTACCCGAGTCGGCACTGTATCGAACCGCAACAGCAAAACAGTTAAAGTAGAACCTTTTCATATTCCTTCTAATCATATAAAAAGCTTGTATCTCTTTGGTATTATCAACTTATCTTGTTCTCACACACTAGTACAAGGTGGTTCAATCAACTGTGATATTACAACGCTTCCGCAATTACAACATCTACTTCAACACCTGATCTTAGCCTTGAAAGATCCAAAGGGCCTTTCTCAGCCCAACATGGTATGAGAGCAGGCAGGGCAAGATCACTCTCTTAAAATTACCTACAACAACGCAAGACATGGCAACACGGAAGGAGAGGAGCTCCTCCAACGGATCTCTCGGCACTACTCCTACTCCACCTCCAGCCTCTGGCCTACAGACAGAAGAAGGCACAGCTACAAGACCAGCTGCGGAGTCAACGGAAACTCCCGGAAACCAAGCAGCAAGCTTCGACCCAAGTATGATGGAGAAATTCTTCTCCTTTATGTCCTTCTACGAGCAACACCAGCAAACAGTTCCTGCACAATCAAACAATAGCAACAACAACAGAGCAACGCCGATGAGTCTTGACGGTTCATCCTACGCGCGCGGAAATTAGCAGCAACGCACCTTTGCCCCGTACGAGCCTCAACGCGGCTCCATCAGTTTCGTGCCACAACCGCAGTCTTTACCTGGACAAGAAAGGACACTGGACGCGCTTCAGGTGCAATCGCAATTCGCACACGCTCTAAAATTACAAACGTCAACGCTTTTCGACGGAAATGATTTTTATACCTGGTCATTTGAATTTGAGCTGATGATGGAGGGCGCGCAAATTCTCGGATTCTTCGACGAATCCATGCCATATCTAGTACATGGGACACAGTACGGCAAGCAACAGTACACATATCAGTCACTGATGGCGTACACGATACTCCTTCGAAACT